CCTATGCGTGATGACTGTTCTCATGTGAGTATTCTTTCCATTTTTGCTGCTTTAAGATTTCGTTTCTGATAAATTTTCACATTTTCACGTTGAAAGCGAGGCTTACGGGTGAAACTAGCTTGTCCAGCGTTAACATGAATGATGGCTATTCTCGGGCAAGAGAGTGTGACCCAATGAACTGTTTTAGGGAATGCACAGCAAATCCTAAAATTCTGTCAACTTACCACTCTTCCGTGCCGCGGCCGTCGGTTGTTCACCGGTGCTTCCATTCCACGCTAGAAAGAATTCAGAATCAAACGAAACGTGATCAACACGTTCTTACAGATAGAAAATCTCTCGACCGTATGGTCTCGGCAGTTGAGAATTGAGACAGAGAAAAGAATGGATGGGATATCTAATAAAAAGTATCAAGAGTACCTACTCACCAACTTTTGTGACATTGAGAGAGGCTGGATCAACTGCCAACCCTCCAAGGCTTCCACTCTTCACAGCAACCGCGAGGTTGCTTGTGACATTGTCCCCTAGACCATCTGCTATGTCACGAGTAAACGTTAAATTGAAGATGGTTACAACGCTTCCACGTCTACAAAAAAGACGGAACGACCGCGTCAACTTGACAGAAAACCTCTTACAAGAAGGAAAAAGTGGAAATATCGTATAATTTACCACACAAAACATGCACAAAATTACAATTTTGGAAAAAAAACTGTTGATAAATTTTCGTAAATTAACGTCAATTTATCGTTTTCTGATTAATTTTTCTCTTCATCGACACTAATCAATGTTGCCTGGGTTCGAATATGAACACAGCTACATTTTTAAACGAAATTAAACTTTACACTGGCTATGGGCGTTTTCCATGCAACCACAATTCCGAAAATTTCGAAGCCGAGACGAATGGTACGAAAATGTCCTGGAAAAGATTCCAGTAAATCCCGAAATTATTGAATTTCACAAAGGCGAACCATTGAACCGAAAAGAAAGTCAAATGGAACGGAGATTCCCGACAGAAAATTTCAGAAAATTTCGGTATACCTTACAAGGTTGTCCTCTTTCCTGGAATTTCCAGAAAATGCTGTTCCATTCGTCACTTGAAATTTCCGGAAATTCAAACCTGAATTTTTCATCGAACGCAAAGCACCCTTTTATGACGAAAAGCTATTTCTAAAGACATGGTTAGAACCACAGTTTGTTTCTTTAATCCGAGCACCACTGCATTGTGCTATCATTAAGTCGTTGTGTACAGGCGCGGATCCAGGATTTTTCTTAGAGGGGGCTGCACCACTAAGGAATGGCTTACCTGACTGGTGAGGTAAACAAATTTTAAAAGCGAATACGAAGAATAAGGCTTCATATCGGGGG